TTCAATTTGTTACTCTCCTGATGGTACTACATTAGCATCTGGTAGTTTGGATAAGTCTATCCGTTTATGGGATGTTAAGACAGGATAATAAAAAGCCAGATTAGATGGTCATTCTGATATAGTTTATTCAATTTGTTACTCTCCTGATGGTACTACATTAGCATCTGGTAGTGAGGATAACTCTATCCGTTTATGGGATGTTAAGACAGGATAATAAAAAGCCAAATTAGCTGGGCATTCATCAACAGTTAATTCAGTCAATTTCTCCACTGATGGAAATACATTAGCATCTAGTAGTGATGATAACTCTATCCGCTTGTGGGCTTTAAAATCATCAAAGGAAATACTTAAATCAGATAGTAGCTATAAAGATATTCTTTCCTAGTTTAACCTACCACTTCAGAATAGCTCCTTACTGCCAAATGGTATTAATTATTCATTATTATTTAGTTAATCCTGATTGTACAATACTTAGAATTTGTTAGAATCCTTTATTTGAAGCATCAGGAACACTTATCCTATAAGGACAGTTCATTAATCATTAAGGGAAAGATTTAAAACCTTTGTTTAAATCCAAAGGAAGTTGCTTTTTAGAAGACTTAAAGCAAAAGAAGTGAATTTGAATATTCATTAAGAACATTACAATTATAATTTTAATCATTTTCTTATAACTTTTTTGCATAACATGTATTTTTTGTTACTCTTTAAATATTTTGGATAATATTGAGATGTTAGAAACAACGTTTATAAATTAATATTTATAGACGTATATATTATTAAATTTATAATATAAACAGAGTAAACAGGTTTAGTCCAAATAATGATTACTAATAGTTTAGTATATTTTAGATTTTCAGTTTTAATAAAGATAATGATACATTTAAGAACAAAGATAAGAAAAAAGATAAATTTCAAAAATTACAAAAATATTGATAACAAAGTTAAAACATTGGGATTGAATGATTTTTAAAATTACTATTTTCTTAACATATTGTTTATTATTTTCAATTGATATTAATAGTATTAGATAGAATAAAGTATTGAAAAGATATATTAATCATCAATAAGTATTCTAACCCTAAAAGGATTTAGATCATTATTTATCCATTCCTAACAAACATCTAATCATCTTAAATAAGCATTATGTGAATTACATCGAAAAGCTACTTTCCACTATAATTTTGCATATATATAATGAACAGTTATTAACCACTCAGGTAGGAACTATAAAATTACAAAATTACCCAAGATTGGATTTCATAAACATAATTGAGAATATTAAAAAATAACAAAATT